TTTAGAAAAATGACTGACATATATTAATTTTGTCCGACGTGTTTTACCGAAGTGATGTTTTGAAAGGACAGTGATTTACTAAAATTGTTGAATAAATTACATATATAATAATAATTTATACCATGAACATATTTAATATAACGGTTTGATTTAAGTATTTTTTATTTTAATATTCATAAAATACAAAAATAATTAGTACATTTTTAAACATAAGTATAAGTAATTTATATGAAAATACATCGGTTCAATTTAATTTTCGGCATCAATAGGAGTGATTAGGTCCTCGGAAATCGTGTTTTGTTTCAAATTTTTTAAATAACTGTGGTATATTGGGGGTATATAATTAAGCAAGTCCATCATGTGTTTATATTTTGCTGAAGAAACAGGACGAGATCCAGCGTATAACGGATCCATTTCTATTTGTGAATAACTAGGTCTTCCTCTTTTTGGCGACAAATCCAAAGTTAGAAATTCATCTTTTTCATCTAAAGTTAGTTAATAAAATATTTTATTGCCATCTGCTGGCGGGTGTGGAGGTAGCCGCCGCATCACTATAATATAATTTACAAAACTGCACTATTCTTTCGCACTTATAAAAATAAGTCCAGTGATCACAACTTTTTTAAAAATACTGAAAATAATTCAAAACAATACTTCACACACACTTATCATACGTTTCTATTTCTTTTACACTAAGCCCCGCAATTAATTTCCCGAGTACAGCGACTTACGCCACTTTCAAAATAAACATGTTTGTTATACCGTTAATTAGCAAAACTTCTCTCGAACAAATCTCAATAGTTCACAACTTATTGATTGCAAATTGTTTTAAAATGAAAAGATACCGTTCAATTGTAATTAGTGTTACCATTGACTCGACTTTTTTGAATAAGTGACTTATGCCACTTTCAAAATAAACAGCTTAATTATTTCCAAAAATAGTGTAACAATTTTTCGTGGCGCTCGAGAGTCGTCATTCGAGTGCAACGGCTTCACTGTTCTACCTTTTCTCGACGTTGCAGAGTACGAGCTGACCTCGAGGACCCAAAAGCGTCGATATTGAGCGGCTGTCCGGAAGAAGGTCCCATCAGCGTGGTGATCCTGCTGTTAACCGGTCGTGCATCGCCTCACCTCCACAATGGGGTGATGCACGTGGGGGATGAAAACACATACGTCAGTTCTTGCTTGTTCCCTTAATTAATCGCCTCGCATTACTAACCTTGACCTTTGCTGTACCCGTGAATGTCCATAGGCCGTGCCGCAATGGGGCGTTCTGGTGAGAAGCGAAATAGGGTTTCTGGTTCACGAGGGAGACGCGCAGATCAGCAAGCAGCCGGGTTCCAGGTTGAAAACGCCCAGTCTGCCCATCTGGGTCACTCTTTGTCATGGTCACCATGGTGTTCTTTTCAACACGAATCGGGAACTGCTCCGCAATTACCATGCTGAACGCAGGTAATTATTTCGTTGCTGAAGGAAGAAAAATGGGGAAAATGGAGACGTGCACTGCAACGTTCGTGTAGACACACATTTTTGGAATAACGTTGAAGTAGACTTCAATGAGTAAATTCTCCCTAATTGACGCTCAACTTGTACACAGAATTGGACAATTTGAGAAGGGAGGTACGATTATAAATGTGATATTACAGCTCGTTTTTATAATTATAATATAATATATATTACATACGTATATTGTGTTATAGGTTATATATACATATATATAATATATTATATTATATATATAATTTATATTATATATAGGTTATATTTATAATTATAATATATTTATATAAATTATATTAATATAAATATATATATAAATATATAACATTATACGTATATAACCTATAACCTTTTCCCAAATTGTCAATTTTTGTGTACAAGCTGAGCGTCAGTTAGGGAGAATTTATTGTACATGGGAAATTATTGAAAACAGAGGAATTGGGTAAACTGTTGGAACTTGTATTTTATGACGACGAATTGATATAGTCTGTTTTGTGAAAAATCTCTTCTTTTAAAAAATGGCTCCATGAGTTCCATGACTTTATTTTAAGTCCGTTAAAAATCGTTTTAGTTAAGAAAATCGTTTGAACTCGCTTCGTTTACGTGTATTACGTGTATTTTCTGGTTCGGTCAGGTTCGAGGTTCAATACTTCACGTGCGGCGGCAGTCATGCTACCTTGACCGTGGACACCAGATCAAATTCTGAAAATGATTCCGAATTCGATGGGCCGAGCAAAGAGCTAACGGACATGGCTGCGACACCTTTGGAAAAATTGATTCGCTCCAAGTAAATGCTTTAAGTATTTTACTATAGTTTCCACGGAAATAGCATGACCGATTAGAATGTTCTCTATATTTTAATCAACTATAAAGAGGAATATATATGAACGCGAATTTAACACGAGTCCCTGTGAAATTTACAGGACGTACAATTAAGTAAAAGTGCTGCCAGAAGTCGAATAAAACAAAAGATTCAACTCTAGCTAGTTTCTTCTTTTAGAAAAAGAAAGATCACAGTTGAGTAAATTTACTCGCATTCTTTGGAATTTGGCATATTGCATTTTAATAATAATTTAATTGTTGTCTTACATGTTTAGAAATTAATAATTATCGATTATATCGACATATTGTCGATATTTTATTTATTTTACTATTACTTATTACTATTATTTATTTTATTATTACTTATTTTACTATTATTTATTTTATGATTACTTTATACTACTATTACTTATTATATTACTACTAGATTTATTTATTTTACTATTTAATGTAAGCACAATTTAATTCTTATTTGCGCAATTTTCATCTTGTTAACGCTAAGAATGTTAATTGGAACATGTTCATTGCAAATTTTATTCAGCTGATCGTTATCAATTTGTTGATTGCAAAAGAAAGATCTGTTTTTACCAAAAAGATTTGTAAGAATTGACTGTTCATCGAAATGCGCAGGAAGAGTTAGAGTTCGTTGAACAGTGTAATTAAGACAGCATGTTAACCATGTCATCAGGGACGAAATAGCAAGCCATTGACTATGTCTTTTATCGCTTGCAGATGGCAAGACGCTTGCATACAATGGAACGGAGCTCCCCTAATGTAAACGGCAACACTTTCACCCGTATCTCTCTATGACTTCACCGATTTTAATTATCCACGTGTCTTCTCCGTGTTCTGTTGTTCGATCGCTGCAGCCCCGCTAGTGACTTCATAAAAAAGTTTCTTCGGAAATAAGGGAATATATGTATTTTCGTTGTTACCTCGATCCGAATCGGTGACGGGAGAATCGATACCGTTTGATGAATTCGACAAACACCTGCCGACACGCGATCGCGTGAATCGCAACGCTTTCGAACTGCATGGAACTAACGATTCAACAAATAATTGCACATAGATCATTCTTCGCGCGATAAATAATTGGCGAATTTCGTTTCGGTCCGAAGGTCCGTGGCGCCTTCGAATTCGTCTCGAACACCAAATATTTTCGTACGATTCTAAATTAATATCCCGAAAGTATTGGGTTGGCAACTAAGTAATTGCCGATTTCAGTTATAGATGTCTCTCACTCCCATTTTTATGATATCCGTAAATGTTATATTATAAAATTATTATTATTATTATTATGTTATTTGTTATTATCCGTGAACGTTCACTTCTTCCATTTTTAATTATTATCTATCGTTATTTTTCTTTAGTTTTATTTCACGCACGTTGTAATGAATACCAAAATAGCAGAAATCAGTATTTCGAAAGGCTCACACACACACTTACACACACACACAACCTCTCTCTTTGGTAATTATCAATCATGTGGGTGGATTTTTTAAAACACTTTGACTGTTAATCTAACGATCATAAAAATTGTATAAAACCTAGGCATTTTATTTGATTGCATCGAAATAGTAAGTTAACTGAAATGTTACATGAAACGAAATTAAAATCTGTTTATACTGTTTATACTGTTTTGAAATTGTAAGTCAATCGAAATATGCAAAATTAGAGTCTGTTTATAATTTTCGATGTTAAAAGATTCGTTTATCGATTAAAAGAAAACAGTATTGTCGCAATACGTCAAAATTTAACATATGCATATGAAACAGTTAAT